TAGTAGTGGATGGTAGGTTGTATGGATGGTAGGTTGTAGTGGGTGGTAGGTAGTAGTGGATGGTAGGTAGTAGTGGATGGTAGGTATATACCACCCATATAACCTACCACCCATACAACCTACCACCCATACAACCTACCACCCATACAACCTACCACCCACTACTACCTACCATCCACTACCCATCCACTACTACCTACCACCCACACCACCTGCCATCACCCACTGTCATCCACGACTACCTACTAACCATACAACCTACCACCCATACAACCGACCACCCATACAACCTACTATCCATTACTACCTACCATCCACTACTATCAAGGTTGTATGGGTGGTAGGTTGTATGGGTGGTAGGTTGTATGGTTAGTAGGTAGTCGTGGATGACAGTGGGTGATGGCTGGTACTTATAGTGGATACTGTCGTAATCGGTAAATGATCGCAAGATAATACGTAGTAATTAATTGTATGTGGTAGCGGATAATAATTGCTCATGGTTGGTAAGTGGTAGTGTGTGGCAGATGGTAGCAGATATGTTACATAGCTGTAGGTTGTATGTGCTAGTGAATGGTAAGTGATTGTGGGCGATCAAAATTGTAGTCGGTGGCAGATCGTACTAGATGTTACCAAGAGCTCATAATAGAGATCTCTATTATAGATATATCATCATCTCTATTATGAGCTCTTGATGTTACGTAGCTGTGGGTTGTATGTGCTAGTGAATGGTAAGTGGTCGTGGGCGATAAAAATTGTAGTGTGTGGCAGATGGTTATACTGCTGCACCGACAGTAGAGCGTTTTCATCTGCGACAACATATTCCGTGTGAAGGTGTAATATCACGTATAATGGCATATAGCATACAACGATCATTCTGTGATCAAAGCGTGCAGAGTAAACCTGCATGCCTGGCTCGATGTCCAGCGTTGGGTAGTTTCCGTGGGGGTGTCTCTAGCGGGCTCTTACGATAAATTCATCATGATAAAAGCTCTCTTTTAATTTCCCATCGCATATGGTTCCCGATGGTATCGTTAATTACTGCATGTGGAGAGTGCACAGCTCACGTGTCTAGGTGCGCGTGGAGGGGTATCACTATCCCGTTAGATGTATCGTGCGTGATCCACGATGTCTGTGTAGCAGACCTATATCTATATCTATATCTATATCTATATCTATATCTATATCTATATCTATATCTATATCTATATC